GTTTTTGTTTGAGATTTGTCTCACAAATGGACAAAATGTCGATTTTATATAAGTCTAATAGTCTTTGGGTATCAACGAAATGCTTGACAAGACTTCTCGCGTTCACAAACACAATCTTAAAACCCTTAATGCTATTAAAATTAATTAAATTACAATTTAAATCACTATAACAAAAATTTTGTTGTGCACTCATTGCGAGTCGACTCAATTTATGATGTGCAAAACATACAAAATTACACTTTAATATATTTTTTTTACCACCTTTTCACCACTTTTTTTCTAGCCATACAAATAACAGATAATTACAACGAAAATTTTCATTCATTAGTTGATGGTCTAAATTTTGATGAATATGTAGATATCGATAACAATTTAGCCGTCGCTCAAGAGATCACAACAGAAGCGATAAATGAAGGATTAGAGACAACAGAGTGAATGGTTTTGGATGATTTGGGATCAGATACTAGCGTGACCAACTAATAATTTTTAGGAACAGGACATTTTACTATATTTGACAATGAAATAAAGGACAAATATAGGACACACGTTTTTATTGATTATTTAATTAACAATAATTTACTGTTATATTTTTACACAGTTATTTATTTAAATTTAATTTTTTGTGGTACAGAATCAAGCAAATTCTGATTGTTTAAACATACATTTTGAATTAATTGCAATCCGTATTAAAATAAGTTACAATATAAAAATGCTAATCTTGTGGGTTAATGTTAGGTATATGGTTGTGCTATGTCTAAAGGTAATGCTTATTTGTCAATTATTCAGTTTTATTAATTTAATAACAGCATTTTCTAATACAGTACCAGCGTTTCAAAAGAACTAGCGTTCACTTTTATATAATTTTTACAAAATTGGATTATCTACCAAAGTTAAAAAGTAATTTACAAAACAGCATGTATATTGATTATCACATTATTTATATACTGCATATAAAGTATATACAAGCGGAGTTTAAAGTATTCAAATAATTGTCCTCTATTTTGTATTTGGTTTAATTATTCAATAATTTGTAAAATAAATTGAAAATTATTATTAACATTTTTAAAAATTAAGCTACATTGGTTTAAAATTGTTTTAACTTTTAGTTAAAATTAAAATAGGACATTCAATAGTCCTATTTAACCCCTACATAGGACACTAACCGACCAGCTCAAATATAGGACTGTCCTTTGCAATATAGGACGGTTGGTCACGCTATCAGATACAGAGGTTGATGATAATAATAATCAATATTCTCCACCAAATTTATTAGATGTCACTCAAGCAATAGGTACTATTAAATCATATTTTTCTGCCAGAGATTTAAGTAATGATGAATTATTTCAAGAATTGGACAAAATTAAGTCTAAAGCATTTAAATGTCATTTTAATTTCACGAAACAAACAAAAATTACTGATTATTTTAAATAATTTTAATGAATGATTATAAAGAATTTATTCTTGCATATTATTTCATTATATTCTTATAAAATAAATGATTTTATTAACATTTTAAATTATACCCTCTTGGGCAAACCCTCTATATAACAAACGATTTAGTCATGCATTTGGCCGTTCGCTATGGAGGAGTTGCACTGTACATATATTTTTCTTAAAGCACTTAAAATTTGTAATGTAAAACAACATTTATGTATTAACCATATTATAAGTTCATAATGATTTGTGTGAACTAAATGGCCAAATTTACCAAGTTCACCCAGTTCATGTTTTACTGTACATTTTTTCTAAATAAAAAGGTTAATATTTTAAAAATTATTAAAAATTTAATTAAAAATATTATTTATGTTTAATCTATACAAATCTCATTATATTATAACCACAAATCTGGATCATATGAGTGAATCCAAAACAAAAGGCCCTTCATAAACTAATTCATTAACTGTTAGAATTGTCATAGACTTTATAGTAACACATTGGATTAGCACTGCAATAGACTTAGTTTGTCAAATCATAAAAATAAAACTACATGACGGATTTTAATAATTCATTTTTTATATTAAACATTGGTTTGTGATTAACAAATTATGTATTGAAACAATCATTTGTACTTTTATAGCTTAATCTGTAGCATAGTGCTTTTAGAAGGTCCCGTTATTAAGAATATCACGTGATCAAAATTTATTAATAAAATATGAGCAAACAACTATAAATATGGACGTTTCTTTTTCAATTTACAGATTTAAGCTAGTTTATTTGATTTGATTTGATTTTGTTTGGGAGATTCGATTCGTTCTCATTACACAATTGATTATGTCTTTTTTATCCTTTTACTTGTTGTGGTCAACGGTTTGACCGAAAGCGTATCCAAACTAACGGTTACTTTGTATTCACGGAAAGTGCTAAATGTATGACCAAAGACTGCCAGTAGTGATCAAAATTCTGATGCCGGTGCCGCGGCACTGGAACGGCACCGGCATCAGTTCTGACTGTACCGGCACTGAACCGGCACTGTTTGGTTTAGAATTTTTTAGCATTTGTAACTAAAATTAAATCAAAAATTAAATTATTTTATTTAAACCTGTTGTTATTTTAAATGTATATATAAATACAGCGAAATTGTATGTTTTATATTTGTGAAAGTGATAAATAACATGTTTGCACGGGCTTTAACAGCACCTGCACTACCGGTACTGAAGCGGCACCGGCACCACCGGCACTAACGGCACTTAAGCGGCAACGGCACTGAGTGCCGTGAATTTAAGCGGCACCGGTAATAATTAAAACTTGATATAAAATAATAATGCAATAAATATTAATTTCACAAAAATTATATAAGATCAAAATGTTGATTAATTAAACAAATGATGATCATTTAACAAACACAATCACAACCGCCGCAGTCGCAGCCATCGCAGTCACAGTCGGCCCAATCGCCGCAAACGCCTTCGCAAACCTCGGCACAGATGTTAACACTCGTCACTTCAGCGCCGACTGCCGGCCCATCGCCGCCGCAGACATAACACAAATCGCAATCATAACGAGGTATACACGACGGACAACAGTGGTTCGCGTTATGACCACCACCAGCACCGGCGACCATCACTCGTACACACGACAAAGGCGATCACAGCACCGGTGATAACATCAATCACCGCAACAAAAGCCCAAACAGCACTCACAACCAGCTCTGTGTGATTTGTACTACACATTTACACAGTTGGTCTGAGGGACCGGTGGGTCAGTCACCGCCGGATTGACAGTATTGGGTATAAAGTCGGGCAGTTTAGACACCGGTTGTTGTGTTACCGCATCAAGCAATTTATTTTGAACCGCTGCTGGGTCAGAGCTTTTATACCCCTCCTTATTATCACAAGTATTGTCCGATTGTTGTTGTAGTGAATTATTTGCCATATATTTTACAAAGAATTTATTAAATTCTAAACCAGTGGTGGGGTTATAGCCGGGCGAACCGGTATCTAATTTAAACTCAGATTCATTTAGCACTTGTTTATTATAGCAATTATTATTATTAGTGCTGTTATTATTGCGGTCAACAACTGCTGATATAGTGTTGATAGTCAATTTACTATTACCTAGGTTAGTTTTAACATTACGATAGCTATAGAGCACATCATAAGAACACTGATAGTGTTGATCGCCACTCGAGTCGGCCGAAGAACATTTGGTCAAACAACTGGTCAGCCGCGGCTCCCATACATTGACCGAGATATTCATCACCTAGTTTTACGCCACACACTTTGACTTACGGTTCGCAAACTTCCCAAACCTAGAGTGCATACACTTGGGAACCGCTTTGCAAACCAATGTCATCTCGGGATTGGGCGCAGACATCTTCGCAGGCCTGGAACGGCTCGTTCAGCTCAACCTCAACTACTTGGGCGTCGAGAGTATGGCCGAGAATAGCCTCCGCTTCTCCACCAGACGGCACCTGAAAGTGGACTTAAGCCACAATTGGGTCACCGCTTATGAGCTGAAGAGGTCTAACATATCGGTGGACAATACGGACGGTTTGTTAGACCTTGACTTGTGGTACAATAAAGTAAAAGCATTGCCTTACTATGTGTTCGCCGACTATTGCCGGCCAGACTATAAGGTGCGGATCAATTTGCGTTACAACCCGATTAAGTGTCGATACAATGACGTTAAGTAGGTTTACGAGGACAGGGAGGCCGTCGCCGACCACTTGTATAATGTCTATTGCGTTAACTATAATAACAGAGACTTGTTTACTATGAATGAAACGGATTTCATAGACATATCAATAGATACCACAACAACGACAACAGCAAACACTACCACTACTTCATCCATAGCTGATAACAGGTTAACCATCGAGTGGTGGCTAATACTTATCATATGTATTGTGTTTTTAATTATTGGCATTATATGAGTGATTAAATTTTGATTAACCATAAATAATTTTAAACAATGTTTATGCATTGTATTTACGGTATAATTAATTCTCGCGACTATTGATTGTAAATAATGTATTTAAAACTCAACGCTTTTAGTCTATAAATTAAACGTTTTATTCATTCGCTATAAATCAACACAAAATTACAATTAAAACCATTAGATAAAAGTGATTTTACAAAATGGCTGTCAATGGAGTTATATACTTGAAATTAGGTGCAAAACCGGAAGTTATTAATGAAAAACAATACATTAATAAGACTTTGAAAAAAGCTGTGATTGAAAGCGGAGGAAGAGTTAACAAATCAATGCATAAAAAGAAATATGTCATAAATACTGATGAAATCATTGCCCGTATGAAAGACAACAAGAATGTGGAGTTGATTAGTGTTCCCGCTCTCAGACAACTACAGCTGTACCCCACCGGACACAAGTGGTCGCACTTGAACTGTTGTGAGGGCCGACACCTTATGGTTTGGTGTCTCAATGAAATCGTACAAGAATTACAAGAGTTCTTAGAGTTGAATCTGACGGCACCGATCGGTGGTCCCCTTCCCGGCCCTGACTTAACATTAATTGGCCAAAAGTTTGGCAAAGAGTTCGTTAAAACACAAATCCAAATAATTAATGAATTCATAAACGATTGGTTAAACTTTGAATTTGATGTGCATTTTAATAAATTGCCGTCCGATCCCATCAATGACCATAACGTCCGTATGAATGAACACATCTATCGCAAAGTTGCCCACAAGAGGACCGACGCCGACGGACAGGCCGTTAAGCGACGTTCTTCTAGCCATTAGTTATTGAATTATTATTATTTTGAGATATTTTGTGTTGTTTTTTATACCAATTTATGTTCTTTTGAATCTCTTTATTAAATAAAAAGTGTCATAAATCTATCGATTATTAAGTGTTTATTTTGATTATTCAATGGTTTCGTAGATATGATGCTCATTGTGTTCATACATTTTTAAATCATTGCTTAATTGTCTCCTTATGTGATATTTTGTACTTTTATTAGCACAACAAAACATATCATTAGTGTTTTGATAAATATTTTCCTGTTTATTATTATCACATAATAGTTGTATGTATTTATGGCAATGTATGCATACATTTGTATCGACAGTACTATTGCTATCATCACTACTGGCATTAAATTCACTATACTTTGCATAACTGTCCGGATAGGGGTCGGGTGTGATGTATGAGCCGCTAATCTTATAGCATTGGCTCGAATTATGGTAGAAATTAGGTACAGGTATACCAGTTGTACGGCGTTTAAGCCTAATTACAATTAGTACTAATATAATGCCGATAATTAAAAACACAATACAAATGATGAGTATTAGCCACCACTCGATGGTTAGCCTGTTATCAGCTATGGATGAAGTGGTAGTGTTTGCTGTTGTCGTTGTTGTGGTATCTATTGATATGTCGGTAAAATCAGTTTCATTTATAGTAAACAAGTCTCTGTTATTATAGTTAACGCAATAGACATTATACAAGTGGTCGGCGACGGTCTCCCTGTCCTCGTAAACCCACTTAATATCATTGTATCGGCACTTAATCGGGTTGTAAAGCAAATTGATCCGCACCTTATAGTCTGGCCGGCAATAGTAGGCAAACACATAGTAAGGCAATGCTTTCACTTTATTGTACCGCAAGTCCACGTCTACCGAACCGTCCGTATTGTCCACCGATATGTTAGACCTCTTCAGCTCATAAGCGGTGACCCAATTGTGGCTTAAATCCACTTTAAGGTGCCGTCTGGTAGAGAAGCGGAGGCTATTCTCGGCCATACTCTCGACGCCCAAGTAGTTGAGGTTGAGCTGAACGAGCCGTTCCAGGCCTGTGAAGATGTCTGCGCCCAATCCCGAGATGATATTGGTTTGCAAAGCGGTTCCCAAGTGTATGCACTCCAGGTTTGGGAAGTTTGCAAACCTTAGGTCAAAGTGTGTGGCGTAAAACTGGGTGATGAATATCTCGGTCAATGTTTGCGAGCCGCGGCTGAACAGCTGTTTGACCAGATGTTCTTCGGCCGACTCGAGGCTTAGTATCCGGAATTGGAGGTCAATTATCTGGTCGATGGCCTCGATGTCCGACTGTAGGGTTAGGACTAGTTTATCGGTGCGGACGTTAACCAGCGATACGTTTGTTGTCTGCACTGAGCATAAGGTGATGGTCTGGAAGCGGATGTCTCGCAAGTGTGGTATGAATTGATTTTTACCGCAATATAAGGCCTGTCGTAATGGATAGCATTCGCAACCGTTTAGTATAGTATGTGCCGGACATTTGAAGTCTGATTGATCACATAGTATGGGATCTGATTGTATGGCCAGAGATACGATGGTAACCATACCTACGATAAGAAAGTGATTATTATTTTGAAAAAATAAATTATTTGTATATTAAAGTAAAACAATAAAGTTTTAAAGTTGTATCAAAACCTTTGATTAGCGATAAAGTGCTTTGATTTTTGCAATACATTATCCGTCGTATGCTATCAATTGGAGACACAATTTTACTTTGACTTAATTTTTAATAAATATTTTCTAAATAATTAAAATAATTTTATTATTTATTTCTGTGAAAAATATTGTTTTTCTATTGAATAACATTTTTTCCAACAAATGCTGCAATAATTATTACTTTAAGACTTTGTCTGTGTTTTCACTTTATTTGTTACAAAAACAGTTCATTTTGAATCAATTGATAAATTGTTATCGTTTTGTAAACACAAGAATTTTTTGTGTAAACAATTAATAGTTTATTTCGTAATTGTTTTGTTTGTTTATAATTAAGGGGAGAGAGAGAGAGAGAGAGAGAGAGAGAGAGAGAGAGAGAATTGTGATGATTGTGTGCCAAAATACAAGTGGCTATACAAAAGATTATTTGTATGTCATAGTTGGATCTATAATATAATTTATTTTTACTAATAATACAATTAGTAGGGTGGTCAACTCGTAAATAGTGGACCTTCGCTCTAAAATTGGCTAAGAATAGTGGACAATTAGTGGACATACATATTCGCCATGTCTATATATCAATTTCACCTATTTTTCACTAAATTTCTTCCCAAAATAACTAGTTGTAATAATACTAAATCTTATGTTATAAGTACATTTTACTTATTGCAATGTATACAAGTATGCTGTATGTAAATTACCAAAGTATGCAGTTAAAAGTTATTTTTTGCCTAAATAAGAAATATGCAAAATATAATTTGGCAAAAGTGACACACAATACTATGTACCAATAAATGTATGCAAACATACCTTGATTATATTTAACTTAAAACATATTACTTGGCTTAACTTATTTATTGACATTGTTATTAATTGAAAATTTCAACTGTTTTACAATATGCTTATTTTCTGTATTTTTAAAAATTAATTATTATGTTGTCATTTTTTAAATTAAATAAATTTTATTTTAATATAACTTAATAAAAGGTATCAACGCTTTATTATTTTTATGGGTATAGGTCATTTCATTTATAAAATTAATATGTATTGTTAATTAATGCAGCAAAAATTAAAATTCAAACAATGTTATTTAGTAAATTAATAGAAATAGATTTATTAATAAAAATAAAATCTGATTTATAAATTAAAAAATATATTTATATAACAAATAACATATTTAAATAATTAATTAAGTTTTGACATTCCATTAACGGGTTTCATAATCGAGAGAGAGAGAGAGAGAGAGAGAGAGAGAGAGAGAG